AGTCTACCATGGGTCTAGCAGGATGTAACCCCATTGCAAGTCAAGGAACATCTATAATGATAATGACCTTGTTTTAATTTGCTAATTGGCCATAGTATATTCCTCTATAATTTTCTAAGATTGTTTATCTTTTACTTTTTTTATTATTGAATACAAGTCTTTTGTCAGTTATATGCATTATGAATATTTTCTTCAAGTCTGTGGTTTGTCTGTTCATTTTCTTCATGGTGTCTTTGGTAAGAAAGTTTTAAATATTGAGGACATCTGATTTATCAGTTTTTCCTTTCATAGTTAAGTGCTCTCTGTGTCCCATGTAGGAAATATTTGCTCACCCACAGGTCACAGAGATATCCTACTTTCTTTATAGTGTTAACTTTAGATCCTTAGTTTTTATACTTATGACTGTGATCCATCTCAAAATAGTTTTCGAGTATAGTGTGAAATGGGGATTGAGGTTTATTTTTCAAGGCAGATGTGCAGTGTTCCAGCACCATTTGCTGAGATACTTTTCTTCTCCCCTTGACTTGTTAAACGCCCTGCCTCAGAGCTCACTTAGGCATGGTCTTCGCCTTAAAGAGCTTTAGTTTGCAGAATAACTGTTGTACAGGAATTTATTGCTGACTTTTCACAAAAAATTAGCCCATTTATTCCTACTACTAAGATGCATGGAAAACATTACCCTTTTAGAAAAACGATAAGGCAAAGTCCACTTGGCCCTCACCAAGAATAGCCAAGTAAAATAAATTAATTAATGCAAATAACTGTGACTGTGGTTGGTATGTTGCTTTGAAGGAATGCAGTACAAGTAACACTTTAACTTTGGAGGGTTCTTGTACCTTTGTCCCCAGAAGAAAAAACACTCGATGAATATGTTCAGCACTTAGATTGCTGTTATTCAGGTTTTAAAAGTTGTACCTTTGACCTCAGATATTTCAAAGCTGGAATAAATACATACTTTGTTCTTCAGAGATTTAAAATTTTTTTCCTGGTTTATATAACTTTTAGATATAACAAGATGGATTAATTTTTAAAAGAATGTTGTTTCATTGTTAACACATTTTATAACAGTTTCAAAGCATGAATGAAACTGCTAACGTTATAGCTCTTTGATCTTTCCCCCATAGACGTTTGTGCTCCAGGTATCGCTTTGACATTTGCTATTTGTAAATAACAGGACTTATAACTGCCACCTGCGGCTCCAGCTGCTTTGAGGCGATGAGGGAATGAGTTACCCTAGAAGGAGTATTAGATTAGGAGGCTTCAACATGTGGGACTCAGGACTACTTACAAAGTCAAGAAAGTGATCTCTTTGTGCTTTCCTGTCCTTTGGTGTGAAATTGGAAGAATCACACTGGCTCCCCGAGGTCAACGTAGGACAAAAACGTGGTGGTAGAAAATGAGAACTTTAAGATCAGGATAGGTAGGTTCAAATCCTGACGGCATCCAGCTGGCAGACCCCTGAACCTCCCGGAGCACTGGTTTTCTCTTCTTTAAAGTGAGGATGATGCTAATATCATCCATCCATCCATCCATCCTGTGGTCAGGATTGAGGTAGACAGATCCCTTAGCATGCATGGCACTGTTGGGAGACAATTTTCCGTGGTCTCTCACATCTCTGCGTGTTTTCTGAGCAGAGGCAGGCACTGCCTTTTGTCCTGAACTGTCTTTTCATGGATGTCTGTGTAGAGAGCCGCTTGCTTTGGAAGGGAGAGGTATGTCTCCCTCCAGAGCAAACAGCAGCATGCTTACTGCCCAGTTAATAAAGATAATGTCTCCCTCCAGAGCTGTGAGTAATGAACTGTCCTTCATCCCTGACCAGGTGTCTTGTGTCTTCTGCCAACATCTATGAAATTGGTGAACTGGGACGAGTTGGTCACCTTAGAGTAGGATAAAACTCAGTCCTTTTACAATTCTTGACAAGTGCAGTCTTTGCAACATAGGAGGCAATTGATAACTGTAAACTTGTATTGTTATTATCTTATAAAGAAAAAATCTGAAGAACAAGTGTTTTGAAAGCATAAAGTATTCTGCACATATTAGTTATTATATGACAGAATGAATTTGATATCTGTTGACAGACTGAGTAGAATTCAAATTAATATCAGGGAACTGGTCATAGATTCACAGGACTAAATGTAAGAGGAAGAAGCCTAAGGTACTTCACCAGGGAAGAAAAGGAATCTCTAAGATAGAAGATTAAAAAACACCCCAGTAAACTTTCACTGATACTGGCAGAAGAATATGAACAAGTCATGAAGTGCTGTTATAATAAAAGAGGCATAAATTAAAATCTAGAATTTATGATGAACAGTTAAATCTTCCACCATGATTAGAATTTTTAAAAATAGCAAATCTGTCTTTTCTCCTTAGGAGTCATTGTATAATCCACTCCATTCATAAAAAGGCATAACCAGAAATCTTTCTGAGGTAAATCCTTTCAACCTCGGGCTTTATGGGAGGCTGCTATGGGCCATCACCTGTAAGATCACTACAGAGACTTTTGTCTGACTGCAGGCTCTGAAGCACCATCTGAGATCCTTCTGAGATCTTAGCAAATGCTTTTACAGTCTCGCCCATTCTGGATATGATTTTCATTCTGAAGCTCTTTCTTAATTTGAGAATTTTGGAGAGGCTCAGAGTAAAAAATAGTTTTATTATTTTTTTAATTTTTCAATTACAGTTTACATTCAAGATTATTTTGTATTGGTTTCAGGTGTACAGCATAGTGGTTAGACAATCATATACTTTACAAAGTGGTCCCCCCAATATCTCAAGTACCCACCTGGCACCATATAGTTATTACAATATTATTAACTATATTCTCTAGGCTGTTCTTTACATCTTCATGACAATTCTGTAACTACCAATTTGTACTTTTTTTTTTTTTTTAAACATATCTTTATTGATTTCAGACAAAGGAAAGGAGGGGAAGAGAGAGAGATAGAAACATCAATGATGAGAGTCATTGATTGGCTTCCTAGCCCGCAACCCGGGCATGTGCCCTGACAGGGAATCGAACCCCGATCTCCTGGATCCTAGGTTGATGCTCAACCGCTGAGCCACGCCTGACTGGGCCAATTTGTACTTCTTAATCCCTTCACTTTTATCACCCAGTTCCCCAGCCCCACCTCTTCTCTGGCAACCATCAGTCTGATCTCTGTATATATGAGTCTGTTTCTGTTTTGTTTGTTTATTTTGCTCTTTAGATTCCACTTATAAGTGAAATCATATGGTATTTGTTTTTCTCTGTCTGGCTTATTTCACTTAGCATAATACCCTCTAGGTCTGTCCATGCTGTTGCAAATATTAGATAACATTATTTTTTATGGCCGAGTAATATTCCATCGTGTGTGTGTGTGTGTGTGTGTGTGTGTGTGTGTGTGTGTGTGTGTGTGTACACACTCCACAGCTTTTTTATCTACTGGTCTATTGATAGGCACTTGTGTTGCTTTATCTCGGCTATTGTAAATAATGATGAAATGAACACAGAGGTGCATATATTCTTTTCTTTTTTTTTAAAGTTTTTAATTTTTGTTCAAAATATTACAGATGTCCCTTTTTCTCCCCAATTACCCATTCCACCCCGTCCCACCCCCCTCCCCAGTCCCTCTCCACACCATTGTTCATATCCTTAGGTTGTGCATATACGCATATAAGTTCTTTGGTTAATCTCTCCCCCTCCACCCATCCCTCTGAGATTTGTCAGTCTGATCCATGCTTCCATGTCATTGAACCATTTCTGTTTAATCAGTGTTTTGGGTTTCTTCAGATATATACCCAGAAGTGGAACCGCTGGGTCATAAGGCAGTTCCATTTTTAATTTTTTGAGGAAACTCCATACTGAAACAGTTTTATTATTGAACCCAACAGGTTTTGTTTCTTTATATTTATATTAGCTTTTTCACATAGAAAAATATTCTATATTTATATTTCATATTTTCCTTTAGGTGATATCTTTTCTTTACATCTTATTATGAGCAGCAAGAAGACACCAGGCAGCAGTTCAACAGTCTGTGTGGAAACATCCTTAGCTAGAACATTTATTTATTGAATATGTTTTCTACTTTCCGTATTAACCACAGGTGACAGTGTTGCTAAACTTTCTGCCACTCCATAACAAGGGTCCCTTTTCCTCTCGTTTCCAGTAGCCTTTTCCTCACTTTCCTTTAAGCTCACTCTGACAGCCTCCTGGAAGGCCAAAACATTTCAGCTAATAACTCTGAGAGCAGAGGCAGATCCTGAAGGCACTTGCAACTAGAGGCTGTCAGCCAACTGTGTTCCTGGCTGCTGATTGTCTCTTGAAGGGAGATTTGGACACTGCACCTCCATGGCTACCACATATGACAGTTATGCCAAGCCATGTTCTAACCTCTACCAATCTTCCAGTCTTATCTCCTGACATTGCCTGCATCTCACCCAATGCTTTTGCTACATAGAAGTTGTACTACCTCAATATACCTTCAGATCACCCACACCATGACCTAGTGCAGGCTGAGTTAGGTGCCTCTCGGCACCCTTTAATACTTATAATATAGGATCTTTCACAGCACCCTAGGAATATCTCTATCATGGTGTTTATGGCATTCTGTGCTACTAGGATTCAAATCTTGGCTCTGACATAGTTAGCTATGTGACCTTGGTCAAATTATTTGATTTCTCTGTGTTTTAGCTTCTTCACCTTTCAAAGGGGGATAATAATACTCTCCTCCTCATAGGGTTGTTGGGATTAAGTGAGATAATACTGGTAAGTACTTAGAACAAAGGACAGAGTAGGTGCTCAATGACTGTTAGCTACGACCATTAATGATCTGGACTGACAGGATTTGTTCATTCTGGTGGCTGGATTGCAGGGCAAAACTGATAGAGGTGACTTGATTTCATCCTTCATAGTACTTCTGTTTTTAGGGAGACAGTGCAGACACCTGCTTCTCCAAGAGGCTGTGATGTAAACTGAAGCCATCAGAATAACCTTTATCAGCCTTTTCCTCCCTTTGGTTTAGGTCTGCAGGACAACCCGTGGTTCTGCGACTGTCACATTTCCAAAATGATCGAGGTGTCCAAAGTTGATGACCCTGCCATAGTACTTCTTGATCCACTGATGGTCTGCAGTGAGCCTGAGCACCTGACGGGGATTTTATTTCAGCGGGCTGAGTTGGATCAGTGTCTGAAGCCATCGGTGATGACCTCGGCCACCCAAATCACGTCTGCTCTGGGGAGTAATGTCCTGCTGCGGTGTGATGCCACTGGCTACCCCACCCCACAACTCACATGGACCAGATCTGACAGCTCACCGGTTAATTATACAGGTATTTTCCTAATTCAGGCCTATGTTGAGACAGAATTTTCAAAGATCTGTATTTAATCTCATGTTTTGGGAAGATTTGCAATTGGCTGCTTAATTCTAATAAAATATGCCAAGATTGTTAGGTAAAAGGGATTTGAAAGGTTCATTTTATTGGTTAATGTTTTCCTCAGTTTATCTGACTAGCTACATAGATGAAATTAGAGCATCTGATTTTTTTCTTAGAAAACAACATGATCCAGTGCATGAATGACTGTAGAGAAAGCCTTTGTCTTGCTGTATCCTCCTGGATACTGCTCACTTTAAAATACATAACCAGCCCTAGCTGGTTTGGTCAATGGTTAGAACATTGGCCAAAAAAATGAAGGGTCCCGGGTTTGATTCTGGCCAAGGGTATGTATGTCAGTTGCAGGCTTGATCCCCTGGCCCCAGTCGGGGCCTGTGCCAGAGGCAACCACTCCATGTGTCTCTTTCACATCAACGTATCTCTCTGTCTCTTGCTCTACCCTCTACTCTTTCTGAAAAAGAATAGAAAAAATATCCTCAGGTGAGAATTAAAAAAAAGTAAAAGAAATAAAAACAAAAATAAAAATGTATAACCATTACAATTTCCTCAGAAGGGATTTTCATACCAGTTTCTCATTTTGAATGATTTTTAATTTTTTAAAAAAATATATCTTTATTGATTTCAGAGAGAGGAAAGGAGAGGGAGAGAGAGAGAGAGAAATATCAATGATGAGAGAGTCATGGATCAAGCCCACAACCTGGGCATGTGCCCTGACCAGGAATTGAACCCCCATTGCCTGGATCCTAGGTCAATGCTCAACTGCTGAGCTACACCCAGCCGGGCTTAATGATTTTTTAAATAATTACATGCTAACATTATTATGAATCAAAAGGCATAATTTTAGAAATATTGGTTTCATAGACTTTTCAGATCCTATTATGACCAAGTCAGTGCTTTGGCCTTAGTTTCAATAGTGGTATTCTGATAATTAAAGCAATATATCCTTAAAACTTTTAAAAATTAAATTAAATCAAGGTTCAAATAATGAAACCTGATGAAATAATTAAAAAAATCAAACCTAATATCTCTACAACTAGATGGTAAATGGACCATACCTTGAGGTAGTGAGTTAAATTTGGGGCTCCTCGAATACTACTTAGTTTATGATTAGTCTTCAGAAAGCTTCAGAAGTGAAGACAGAATGGAAATATGTTAGATTTAAGTGTTTAGGAAAGTAAAATTCCAATTTTTAAAAAACTATATATTATTCTGCAAGTAAAAGAATCCATGGTTTATTAGTTTATATAAACTAAATATAAAATGAAAGCTTGAGAACTGAAAATATGACCCCTCCATGCCAGAAAATGATCTGCTGTACCCTCTGTAGATAGATAGCATTTCATTAAAATGAATAAGTACTTGGGGAAATATTTAATTAAAGTCTTATGATAAACATTTTATAAAACTTCAGTGAATTAAAATTGGAAGGGATCTTTGGGATCACTTTCTTATCCCCTAATATTTTTCTTTTTAAACATTGGCTGTGGCTGTGTTCCAACAGAATTTTATTTTGAACACTGAAATTTGAATTTCATATCATTTTTTTCTTTTTAAATTTATCTTTCTTGTTAAAAGTATTACAGATGTCCCCTTTTCCCCTCATTGACCCTCTCTACCCTGCTTTTGCCCCCTCC